GTGTCTGACATTTAAAAAAATGATGGGCTACTTTGTCATAACAGACGTATTTATTTTCATTGATTTTTGACATGTTGAATGTAAAATATAGGAAAAAAAGCTATCTTCGCTGGATTTTATTTTCATTGATTCATTCCTTCAGGGAAAATAGCGAAAACAAAGTATTCCAATTCCACAATATAATAATCTCACAGAAAATATGTGTCTCACAAATCCCGCAAATTACTGTCTCAGGGTATAAAGAGTAGGTTATTCTGCGTTTCTAATCGGGAATATTGAAGTAATAGGATGTATAACGTGTATTTATTATTTATTTATTTACTCAGGTGACTCGGTCATTAGGCGCTGCAGTGACAATGAGTCTCCAAACTTCTCTTGAAAAAAGTAAAAGAACAATAAATAAAAAGTAAAAAGGGAAACACTGTGTACAAAGGTTAAAAAGGTTAATTCATTTAAAGTCAATTTTACCAATTAACACTTTAGTTTCCTTGTCAATATCGTGTCACAGTTCTTTATAATATTACTGTGAAGAATTAATTCCCAGGAGCAAGCCTGGCTAAGGCTGTCATGATCCAGGTTTTGCACTCTTCTAGATAACAAAATCGAATAATGAGTGTGTTATATATATTTTAGCAACAGTGACTCAAACTATTTGCACAGTTAAACCATTCCCAGCCATTTTTATTTTGTGGAGCTTGTGTGTGTTTTAGTGCATTACATAATGTATACAGTGTTGGTATATCATGACTCATATATATATCACAACACTATATATAGTGTAGCACCACCATATAATAAAAGAAGATATAATTGGAAATTGAGAGGTGGAACTTCAATTAATTCACAGATCATAAATATTGAAATATTTATTGGGCAGTGCAATCCTGAGAACTCGCTAAAAGTTTGTTATTTGTTACCTCCACAGTAGATTCTAGCGGGTAAGGTGTAACGTTTCAGCTCACTGTAAGACCAAAAGAAAACATTTGACTCTGATCACGTGCGTCCCAGCGAGTCATTTTTGTCCTTCCCCCCCCCAACCTATTGAAAATTCACAGTTGGTGCAACTTTAAGTTTTCCGTAAAGATTAAAATGCACCTGAGGTTAAATGAAGCAGGCAAAAATGCAAAACGCGCAAAAACAACTGAAAGATACCAACAATGTCTCGATGCTAACAATGAGTCATGACCTTTTCCAAATACCCTCACTCACCGTATTATCACATCTACATTCCTGTATATAGTTTATGACAGCATGCATGATTAACACTTATGGGACGTATCGTGTGAAAGTTATCTCACGACAAACCGACTATAAACACAACTATTACGTGAGGGACAGTCATTGGGCGCACGAACTGTGAGAGAAAATAGGAGCACCGTGACCCAGACTGGATTATTTGGGACCGTGAAATTTCAACAAATGTGTTTCTACGTAATACTCTCCCATCGAAATCCGCCACAGGCTGTTCTAGTCAAGATTCGACCCAATCTTAAAATTCGTACAATAGTATGCCGTGTTTTTCTGTTAATAGTCTTCTAACATTTAGTCATACTTGATTAAGACTTACAGGGATCATCAAACTGGAACCAAATTGAAATAGCAAATAGCAAAGATATTAAAAAAAACATCTATTTCGGAGACATTTCCCAAAGAATTCATTGCCATACGATATCCATAATTATGAAGCAAAATAGTTAAAAGTATGAACGAACACATGTTGGGAGATCTAACGAACTGTGAACAAAATAATAAAAAAAGAATTTAAAATCCTGATACAGCGGAAAATGAAATCAAACAGGTCATAAACGGTTGAAAACCAGCACATGCTTAGAAAGAACCTGCCGAGTATGTGCCACACGAAGATGTTGATTCTGAAAATTGAAACTACCCGTCTCTGTCTGTATATAATATTTTGATTCTAAACAACTAGAAGACGAACAACACTTGTTTTATCAACAAAGTGTAAAGTTATTCATTGAAGACTAGAAACGAAAAACAAATCCTTGCAAAAAATAAACATAACAGATTGTGTTAAATAGAATCATTGGAATTGTTACATATGAATATTACCTATCTATTACAGAGTTAATACAATAGTTATACAGCAGTATACAGAAATGGATTACGTCACAGGAAATTGTTGGTTTCTTGAAACAATCTTTTTAAGTATTAACCCACTTATTATTTTCAGTAATATATTCAATGTATTTGATCTCGTGAACATAGTTTTTAAAATGTGTGAAGTAGTATTTTCTTCTACATATGTAGATGAATTTCCCCCATAAATTAGTAGGAAGTTCAGCAATATAGAATACCCAACATTTTCAAGAAGAATATCTTTGTTTGACAATGATCTCATGCCCCATTTATAATTAAAGTTTTCCCAAAATGCCCTAGTATAATGACACTCATAGAAGAGATGGAGGACTAATTCAGTTGCTGATATTGCTCGAGGGGGGGGGGGTCAATCATGATTTGTATGTTTTTTCATTGGTGTACAGGATATTGAGTACCAGCTTCTATTGAAATGCTCTTTTTTTCTTTTTTTTTAATATTTTTTTTTATTACCCATAACAAAAACAATTACAGGACTTTAATAAATACAGTAATAAACAAAACAAAAAAGAAAACGAAACAAAACCAACAAAAATGAAGACAGATTACCATGTAACTCCAATTGTATTGAAAAAAAATTGTAGATTGAAAATTGAAAGATGCACAAACCAACATTAGGTAAAATTACCCCACTTCACCTGAAACAATTCGATAGTGCTATTTTTACTACATATACAATATTCCATTTCTTTTGTTTCCATTACTTTTTTTACTACCAGACGAAA